TGTCTTCGCAGCGGGTCCTGCGGCCGCGGGGCAGCCGGTGGTAGCGCCGTGTAGCGCACCCTATAGCTTCTTATAGCGGGCGGTTGTAGAGGGCGCGATAGTGGCCCTGGCTACCCTGCCGGGCTGGCGTTAAGCGCCTGAGGGTCGCCCGCTCTGAGTGTCGTGGGGATGTCGGTGCTTGCAGATTAAAGTGGTTTTGTGGGGTGTCGCTCTGCTTTGCTTGGCTCCAGTTGTTCCCCAGGAGAGTTTTTGCAGCGTTACCTCCCTCTTCCCTTCAAAAAGAAGCTTTGCTGGCACGTATCAGCACGGCATGAATGCTGCTGTTGCAAGGGAAAGGAAGGAGTAGCTGAGGGAAAGTGAATCCATGTGGTAGGAAAACCGACTATAAAGTTCAGGGAAGTTGGAAAGAGATGATTTCTGTGGTGTTTAAATAGCTCAAAAATAAGATTATTTGTCAGGTAAATGTAAGACAATGGGCAGAACAGATTTTGACAGAATTAATGCGGTTCCTCAAGTGAGACTGTATAAAAAAAAAAAAAGAAGAAAATCTGTTTATGCTGGTAATGCTTGGATGGGGGAAGTAAAAGCTCGTAAAGAGAAAACTTAAATTTTAAACTGAATTACAATAAGTAGAGTGTAGAACAGTATTTATTCCTAAGATACACCCGTGAATTTTATTTGGAAGAGCGAAAGGAGGCAATAGAGTTAGGATGAAAACTAGAATCTTTTGGGGCCACCAAATATGCTGTGACATGTTAGAAAACTTCTTTCTGCAGACTTTAAAAAACAAGTTTTTTATAGCTGTTCTGGAAACAGTTTTAACAAAATGATGAGCAAATATCGATAAATTTAACTGCACAGGTATCTTAGGCTTTAATGTTTGAGAGAGTTGAGGACAGAGTGTGTGTTTTTCTTTTCTGATTGCACTGGTTTTGCTTATTTCTGTGAGCATCTGAAAATCTTGGGAGACTAATGGGCTTGACCTTTCATAGAATTGTAGGATCATTATGAGAGGAAGAGACCTTCAAGATCATCGAGGCCAACTGTAACACCATCACCACCATGCCCGCTAAACCATGTCCCCGAGTGCCTCATCTGCACGTTCCTTGAATACTGCCAGGGACAGTGGCTCCACCACTTCCCCGGGCAGCCTGTTCCAAGGCTTCACCACCCTTTCCATGTAGAAATTTTTCCTGATGTCTAACCTGAACCTACCCTAGTGCAACCTGAGGCCATTTCCTCTTTTCCTATTGGTAGTTATTTTGGAGATCAACCCCTCTTGCCTCACTCCCGCATCCTACATGTCCTTGCCCATCCTATGTCTACATAAGTTAATGAAGAAAAGAACCTATTGTTAGGTAGCTCCATTTGAAAATGATTGTGACTCCATAGGCTTCAAAATGTTCAAAAGTAATTTCATATATTGATGCTCAGCCAAAATCCCTTACCATGTTTGAAAAAGCTTAGCATAGTTGGGGAGACATTGAGAATCTGTTTTGCACAGATACACATAAGTACGCATTTTGGAGAGAAAAAAAAATCAAGAAAAAAAAAGAATATATTTGCTGATGAGTTTAGCTGTACTTTTAAACCAGAGTAGATAGATTTCTTTTTAAAAGTCTTAGCAATATTTCTGCTAGCCCTTGGAGGTTCATATTTGAGTATGAATGACTTTTGCAATTAAAAAGCACTGTTTTCTAAATTACAGGATTTATTCTGCAAATCTTATTCTTAGATAAAAGAGAGCTAACTTAATATCTTGTATATCCCATCCTTTTCAAGTCTGAGCAATATCCCCAAGAAATCTGTCTGAAGTGAGGTAGATTTGTGTTTGCAAGTGTGATTTAGCTGTGTTCATAGGACTACATTTTAGAAACAGAAAATCTTTTGTGGCTCAAGTTTGGTGTTGCTATAGTCAGTGTGAAAGAAGAAGGAATCTCCTCACTTCCCTGCAATGTAGGCAAAACTGGCAAGAAAAGAGAGGAAGAAGTGGCAAAACTGTATACAGGTCATAAAAATTTCCAGATACATTTTGAAATGCAATTGGTAACTGTAATTGTTAGAACAATGAGCAAGTCATCTTAGAGTTGAAGGCTACTTGAATAGTTCTTCTCAAACCTTACCCTTTCCTCTAACATTTTAATGAAGAATCATTTGCTGATTACTGAGAACCAATCTTTATAGAGAGAGCAATTATTCTTCTTTGCTCGTTTGTTTTAAAAGCCACTGGTGGTATGGCATCTATAGGAGAGACAAGTACCCTATTTACAAGAGAATTATGACTTTGTGTGTGTGTGTGTGTAAAGCTTCTGCAATACTTTCACATTGGAGTAACTCTAGCCTCTCATTTTGTCCTTGGGACACAACTGAATGCCCTTCACAGTAAAATTGCTTTCTATTTTGTAGCTGGATCATGGAATTCTCTTGTAAGTGGATTTGCTGATATGCCCAAATCTATTGCCTTAGACGACCACAAGAATACTTGTATATTTTGTTGCATATTCTATTTTAATATCTTATGATACTGTTATAGATGTCTGGGTTGTCACTTGTTAACCTTCTGTACTCCTTTCCCATTAACGTTCAAAGAAAATTCAGGTGAAAATAAAAGATTAAATCTAGCAACCGAATTTTGCTTAGTCGCCTAGTTTGGGATGGAAACTAGTTGCTAGGGGAGAATAGAGTAACAATTGCCTTATGTTTCACTGGCTTCATGGTGCAATGGAGTACAATGTCAGCAAAAGTGACAGAGACGAGGTTTAATAATTTACAACATTGCAATGAGAGGAGTCAGAATTCTAAGACATGGTGAATCTTGCTCTACTCTTTCTCTAATCTATTTTGGAGTATCTTTATTTTGCTTGTCATAGAGTAGCTTACATAAATGGAAAAACCTGAAGAAATTGGAACATGTAGTTGAGATGACTAAATATATGGAATATAATATATAATATATATATATATAATATATACGGAATAAAGTTGTCCTTTCTTTTCCCTATCTGCAATCGAAGTTTTAGCTGAATTCAAACAAACAAACAAAACCCCCAAACCCATTCATTTGTGAAAGCGTAGCCTTCTGCAGTTGTGTTGGTGGTTCAAAGCTAAAAACACCTTATTCAAGTCATGGATTTGTATCTTCCCTGTCAATTCCAGGATCACTGGAAGTTACCAGCTATGAACTCTTAAGTGAATGTACCTGGCAGGGGATTTCTTTATCCCCCTGCTCTTGCAAGTATATTAAATAAGCATTTTTACATGTATGTTCCTATTCTTACTGTTTTCCTCTATGTCTCCTTCCTGACCTTCCTGATGGCTTTAATGGTTTAGTTTACTTGGTCTTCCTTGCAGGAAAACAATATTCCTTTCACTTTATATATGCTGCTGCTGCATTGACTGACTTATGCCTTTCCTTGTCAAGAAAATAAAAGGATCTACCTTCTATTCTTCTGTATTATGATAGAGAATGGCCATGCCACTCTTTTTTATCTTACGGATAAAATATTTGCTAGTTTCTGCCCAGAGAGTGCTGCTTTATTTGTATTGCTCAGTTCTGTAGTTAAAAGTAGAAGGAGCTGATCTTTGGTACCCAGTAAGTCTGTGTTTTTTTTTTATTTTTTTTGTTACCTTTCTGCACTCTGATATTCTGTGTTGTTTGTTTGTTTTTGGTTCAGTAAGAAGAGCATCCTTAACTGTAGTTAATACTACATTGGAGCAATATTTACCTAGTTGCATGTAACATACCAACAGTCACCCTAAAGCAGATGGCATGAATTTCCAAAGGAACTCCTTTAGGCTAAGTCTAATGTATTTTTACTTGCTGGGCTCTAAGCTCTTGGGATAGCAGAAATAACAACAAAATGCCTAAGATTGTTGCATTAGGCCTCCAGTCCTTAAGTTATCAAATAATGATAGAAATAAAACAGAAGGTGACTTCTGGTGATTCTGCTGCTATGTATTACTGACATTTTCATATGTTTGGATTATGTCCAAAGATTACCTCAAAATGTGAAGACTTTTGTTCCCCCTCTTTCACAAGTGCAGTGTTTGTCTTCTTTCCTTGTTATATTGCTTTGTACCGATTTTCATGATCTATTCTTAGCTTGCCTATTTGTTGTATTTCTTAAAGTAAGAGATCCCAGCCAAATGAATCCAATCCTGAAAGCCTAATAGTCAACAAAAAGAGCACAGTGTACTAAAATATACAATGCTACCTCTATTAGTCATTGATATGATGAGATCAGTGATTGCAGTGAGATTTCTTATTTTGCCATAACCCTTGTGAGATCACATTGCCCACCCAGCTTCACTAAACCCCTCCTGCTGTGGTCACCTCCCAGCTTTTCTGCCAGGTGCCTTTCATGCCATCCTTGCACAGTCATCCCATTTCTTAAAATATGATTATGCAGATGCTGCAGGGTTGGCAGTGCTGGCAGCTGTCCTATGAGGAAGGTGCCTCTTTGGTTGTAACAGAGAGTCATTTCTTGTTAAGTAATATGCAGGTCGTTATGCTCCTTTCACATACTCTATGTCCTCTGCATCCATTCGATCAAATTCAGGGCTCTCTTGCCCTTGATATCAGATTAATGGGTAAATAATCCTTTTTTTTTTTTTTTTTTTTTTTGTGAGTGTGGTGTTTTCTGTGGTTTACAGATAGAGGAAAAGGAAGGAGTTGTGGCTGCAGGGTTGTAGAGGATGATGAATTAATTTGCCTTTCCTTTCATTGTACATATGGAAGTCGTACGTGTAGTGAAAGATGGATGAACTGACGTGAGAGAAAAAAACTTGAGTCCCATAGACTCAAGTTGGTTCTGGTGGTGCTCCTAAATCAAATTTTTGACTGAAATCACTAAATCACTAACTATAAACTGGGTCTTATTCTTAGGAGTATCAGCCACCCTCATAATTAGTCATGTGTCTAGTCCATGTAACTTCAAAGAAGAATACCTCATAATTCCACAGCTCATATATTAAAATCCAAGGTAGGCAGGAATAGAAGCTATAAAGGACTAACTTGCCCATGTGTTTCTGTAGGATGTTCCTTAGAAGCTTAAAGATCTGTTTAAATGGTTCAGATAGTCTGCTGATACTGACAGTCACAGGTGGTAGGGAGAGGGTTGCAGTGTATTTTGAAGGGGAACAGGACAACCAGATCCAGGTTCTTGTCTCTATTCCCCACTGTACTCGGGTCATTTGACTTTTTTGCTTTTTTTAGTTTGTTTTATGCCTCTTTTCATGTATTCAAAGATAGCTTTTCTTCAGACTGTGTAACACGTGCCAGGTGTTTGTGTATTAAAACATTTTCAAGAGAGTCTTTACACACTGCACTATGTTCATTCTGAACTGTTTTCAAAATTAAACATTTGTTCCTGCATTGTGTGATTATGTGTGGGATATGTTGAGTAGGTGAGAGACAAGTTAAATCTTATGAAACCATTCCAAAAATTATTGGCATTAAAAGGGTCTGTGCTTGTCTCTGGAGAGGAGTCAAAGGCAAAGCTAATACCACTGGGGAAAGGATGGTCCTTGCAAAGATCCAACCAAACTTGGATCCTGATAACGCAGTGACTGCTTGAAATCTTGATGCAATCTCGGCCGTGTCGCTTGGAAATGGGAGGGGGTTTTATAACCATGCAGCAACGGGCGCACTTTGACCTTACAAGGCTTTCTGGCAGTTCCTTGTGTGATGAAGGGAAAAATACTCAGTAACTGCCAAAGAAAACTTCCCTGCCTTCCGGAAGGCAGAGAAATGGGGCGATCCTCATTCTTTTTGGTGCTAGGCTATGCGTTTTCCCAGAAGTGAGTAATTGCGGTTGCGTTGCTTACAAGGGAAGTGCAGAGACGAGTCTCCTGCCTTCTGCAGACAATAAGGAGCATTGCAGAGCAATTCTGTTTCTCAAGCAATTTCCAGAAGTATTGCAATTTTAGTTTTGATAGGAATATCTCTTAAAAGATCTAAATCCTGCTTAAAATATCTACTTTCCATAGCTTCTGTTTTCTTTCATAACTGGAGATCAGATGAGGAGAACGATTCACAGGAAAAACTGTTTCAGTTGGACAAGCAGCTGACTCAGCTGTTCTTAACGAAGTTGCTTTTTCTCGCACTTCTACCACTACAAATAAAGCCTAATGGACCAAGACATGTACTGCAAACCATCACTCCTTGATTTTTGTTAAATGTTAAGTGTATTGTTCTGAGACATAACTACTGCTACCGTACTAGTAAAATGTCCTGAAAGAAAAGAAGAAAACTATTGTTGTTGTTGTTGTTGTTGTTGTTGTTGTTATTATTATTATTATAGACTCCTGATACAAACAGCCCTCTGTAGAGGGAGGGGTAGAACATAAGCTGCTAGGAATGCTGACCTCTTTTGTTGAGGAAAAAATATATGGAGTACCCTTAAAGGAAATACAACAAGGTAAATCTTAAAAAATGTAAGGATCTCTGTCTAGAATTAGGCTAATGTTTGCATCAATACTGGAAGATTGTGTCAGTCAAGACCATGGCCTGGAGGGATTTATGTGCCAGGCTGGTGGAAAGTACCAGGCTTGTACGTAAAGAGACACAGCGAATATGACCTCTAGTCAACTTAAAATGAGTTAAAAGTTTCTCCTGGAAACTTCCCTTGAGTTTTTATGTCAATCTGCAGCGTATAGGAATTCTTACTGACTTTGAAGTCACATAACGTTATTCCAGTGCACACAGAAAATGAAAACTTTGTCATGCATTTGTAAATTTATTTTCACTGAGGGTATCTGCAAATCATATATGCGAGTGTTAATATTCCATATGTTAATATTTTACACAAAATCTTATTCTATATAAAAAGGAAAATCTGCAACCTTTTTTCCAAGAAGTTTTTGTTTGTTTGTTTGTTTCGTCCTCTGAAGGAGAGAGGGAAAGACCTGAGGAGGGTGTATTTTCTGTTGCTAGAGGAAGAGTAACAGGAATACAGAAGCTAGTTTGTATCAGCAGAGTACAACTTTGTGGTTCTTTTTAGTTGCTTGAGAATGTGTCCATAAGCTAATATTGATGCTACACTGTATCACTTTATACCAAGCAGTTAAAAATATTATCTATTTCTTAAGTCAGTACTCCATTATGTTATTTTCTTTCCCAAAATATTTAACTGAATCTGCCAAACGTTATTCTGATTATGCCAGAAGTATCCTTTTCCATCGGCTGCACTTTATATGAAGAGCATTTTATGTTTTAACTTGACGTTCAAGTTTCAGGTGACAGCTAATGCTTATCTTGCAGTACTCACTGGGAATGTTATTGTGTTTCTTGCTGGCAGGATGGGCTCTCTTGAGATGGAAACAAGTGTTGCTGCTGCAAGGAGACCCACTAGCTCACTAGGCACTACTTTTTTTCCAGGCCCACCATTCCCTTTGAATCGCAGCTGCTACCAATTACTGGCCCACTGTGGAATAGAGTTTTAAAACTGAAGAGCTTTCAGATTTCCAGGTCTCTTGCTTGATGATATCATTATCCACAGAGCTGCATATTTTGGCATTCCAGGATAGGGCCCATGTTGCACTGGGAAACCTGCCTGTAAGAAACTTGGAGCTGTTGCTGTGTCTGTTTAGTCTACCGGGAATTAAGTCAGGTACCGATTTAGTAGGGATTAAGAGGACTCTGGGCCTTTTTTTTCTCTCATTAGCACTATATCCTGTGACCCATGTTCCAGGTCATGTGTTTGGTAGGAACTGCACCCCTGCTACCTCTCCCTCTGTTTCTTGTTTTCCACGTCAGGGTTATATTTGGTGATATCTGCCAGTGTATGACACCACATCACTGATCACTTCTGTATGCCTCAACCAAATGGGGAATTTGTTGTTTAAATAAGAACTTTGGCTGGCCCTGCTTTTCTGCTTAGCATCAATTAAAATATGCAATGTTTCTGGTATAAGTGTCTTCTTTCTCCACTATTAAGGTTCTCACACTTCAGTAGGTGTCTTTGACAAAGTCCCAGTGTGGGAGAAATGTGAATACCTGTAGTAGGCAGAATGTGTGCACTTACTTGCTGAGTAACCTTTCTCTTTTCTAGGTTTAGCTGCTCTAAAATTCTTGTTATGTGACACTTCCTTATCATTAAAAAAAAAAAAAAGGAAGGAAGGAAGGAAGTGGGAACTCTGTATGGAATATGTATTCTATGACTCTATGATTCTATGATTCTATTGTGAAAGCTATAAAACAAATAATGAAATAATTATTTTTCAACATCTGTGAGAAGTAGTATCGGGTGGTATAAATAGAGATTCTCTCAGGTTATTAACCAAGTAATTTTGGCAAGTCTTGTGAGAAGAAAAATTGGTGCGGAGTTGAACTTCAAATTTTGAGTTAATTTGGAATTGGGTGTTTTATGAAGAAATGAGGATTTTAGTGAATTGCTTTGAGCTTTGTCAAGTCTTCAGATGTAAATTGTCTCACAGCCCACCTACCTGCTCGTTCATAATCCACCTGTCAACAATGAAACTTTTTTGCTTACAAAAAGTTTTCAGAACAATTTACTAAGGTTATGAAATCATTTTAGTCCTGTGTATCATCAAATATGAAATACATATGTTCTTCAAAACCCTGTAATTTATCACCCTATGAGATAGCTGTTATGTCTTAGAGTTGTTTTACAGTCTTGATGATAAAGTTCTTGTAGTCTAGAACAGTCTTATAATGCAAGCTATCTACTACTAATAATTATTTGTTTATTTCGATTTCTCAGCATCTTCGAAGATGAGAGCATGAAACTACGACAACTGAAACTTGAAAATCAGGTAAATGATGCAGAAGCTGGCAAGAAAGCAGGAAACAAGCATGAGCCACCTCTTTTTTCTAAGTAGGGAGGAGATGAAATTGTGCTTCCTCTGCTTTCCCCCATTTTTCCTCATGATAGCCTGGCCTGTTGTTGCAATTTACTTAAACTTTTTTTTATGTAGAGCTACATAAGAAGTGTGGTGACAGTGAATACAGGCCCTGTTCTGTGATACATAAGGCTGTATATGGATTCAGAATCCATCTCTTGGAGACTTGAGAGTTTGGGTGATGTGATTAAAAATACTAGGTCTAAGGAATACAAAGAGAACTAACTGCTAACACTTCTCGTTATAGATTTTCCTGGATTTTGCTAGTTTGAAAATCATCCTTGCCATGGTTGGTAGGCTTTATTTCTTTGGTACATTTATGCTTCATATAGAAGCTCATATGATTGGGAATGAATAACCACAGAGCCAGACTTAGTCAAAAGAGAGGAAACGCTCTATAGGGAATTATGCAATTTAAACATCAAAGAAAAATGTTCCTTGAACTATAAAAAGATTTCCTTAACTCTGATAGATTTCCAACATCTTTGCACCTTTTTTTTCCCTCTTTAAGAATACACTTAGAGACAAGTGTTTAGTATGTATGAGGTAAAGTGCTTCTGTTTCTAAACCATCTGAGTGCTGTTTGCTGAATGCTTAAATCACCATACTCTTTGAAGCCATAATGTACCCAATGCATCCATCCTTAATATTCTGCTTCTGTGACATTTTAAATGCCTATAGATTAGAAGTCTTGAGATGTAAGATTATTATGATCATCAGGCTGGCGATTCTACATAGACCAGAAAATGATGCATACAGTTCAGCTAGATAGAACATAAAACTGAGTTTGAATTAAAGTATGGTTTTTAGAAAGGACCTTCTGTTTCAGATGAGGATTTTTAATCCAGACATGGAAATGTTTAGGGAACTATTCCAGTGGTTAATAACTTCGTTTACCAGTAGTTGTTCATTATTTCTTCTCCCAATTTGCATAGCTTTGACTTGAGCCTGGATTTTTTGTTTGCTTTTTCTACGTATTTGTGCATATTTAAACCACTTCCAGAATCAAGAAGTAAAGAGCATCTTTGGCCATATCCATGAGTAATTCACAGAATCACAAAATTATTGAGGTCGGAAGGGACCTCTGGAGATCAAGTAGTCCAACTCCCATATTCAAACAGGGTCATCTAGAGCACATTGCACAGGGTCATATCCAGGTGGGTTTTGAATATCTCCAGATAAGGAGATGCCACAGCATCTTGCTGGGCAACCTGTTCCAGAGCTCTTCACCCTCACATTAAAGTAGTTTTTCCTTGTCTTCAGATGGAACTTCGCATGCTTCAGTTTGTGCCTGTTGCCTCATGTCTTGTAGCTGGGCACCACTGAAAATAATCTGGCCCCATGCTCTTTACATCCTCTCTTCAGATACTTATACACATTGATTTGATTCCCCCTCAGTCCTCTCTTCTCCAGGCCTAATATGCCCATCAAGAGATTGAGGAGTCTCCTTCTCTGGAGGTCTTCCAAAGCCACCTGGATGCCACCCTGTGCCACATGCTCTAGGTGTCCCTGCTGGAGCAGGGGGGTTGGACTAGGTGACTCCTAGAGGTCCCTTCCAACCTCAACCGTTCTGTGGTTCTGTTCTCTCTCTCAGCCTTTTCTCATGGGAGGGGTGCTGCAGACCCCTAATCATTCATCTATGCTGGACTATGCAGCAGTTCCATGTCTCTCTTGTACTGGGCAGCCCTGAACTGGACACCACTCCAGGTGTGGGCTCATCAGGTTTGAGCAGAGGGGGAGGATCAAGAAGATACCATTTTGCCTTCTTGACCACAAGGGCGTGTTGCTGGCTCGTTAACATGCTGTCCGTCAGGACTCCTAGGTCCTTCTCTGCAGAGCAGCTCTCCAGAAGATCAGTCCCCAGTCTGTACTGGTGCATGGGATTATTCTTGCCAAGGTGCCTGACCCTGCACTTGCCTTTGTTGAACTTCAGGAGGTTCTTCTCTGCCCAGCTCTCCTGCCTGACCAGGTCCCTCTGAATGGCAGCCCAGCGCTCTGGAGTATCGGTGACTCCTCCCAGCTTTGTCTGCTCAGCAAACTTGCTGAGTGCCTTCTGTCCCCTCATCCAGGTCATTGGTGAATAAGCTGAACAAGATTGGACCCACTACTGACCCCTGGGGGACACCGCTAGTTACAGGCCTCAGCCATGCTCTGTGCCACTGATCACACCCCTGCGAGCTCCACCATTCAGACAACTCTCAACCCACCTCGCTGTCTACTGTCTACTCATCTAGCTCGTGCCTCCTGAGCTTCCGCATGAGGATGTTGTAGGAGACAGTGTCAAAAGCCTTGCTGAAGTCAAGGTAGGCAACATCCACGGCGCTCTACTCATCTCTCCAGTCAGTAGCCTCAAAAAGGTTTTCAGACTGGTTAAGCATGACTTCCTCATGGGGAATCCAAGCTGACTAGTCCTGATCGCCTTCTTGTTCTTCACGTGCTCAGTAGTGACATCCAGGATGAACTGGTCCATCCTTTCCCAGGGATGGAGGTAAGGCTGACTGGCTGTAGTTACCTGGGTCATCCTCCTTGCCCTTTTAGAAGGCTCCTTCTTTTTGAGGACTGGAGTGACACTGGCTTTCTTCCAGTCTTCAGGCACTTCTGTTCTCCAAGACCTTTAAAGAAGATGGAGAGTGTACTAGCAATAACATCTGCCAGCTCAGCACTTGGTGCATCCTGTCAGGGCACATGGATTTGTGGGTACTGATGTATTTGACAAAGCCCTTTTAGTTTTCCTTGACATCCTTTGCCAGATTTAATTCCAAATGGGCCTTGGCCTTCTTTGTCACATCCCTACATACTCACATCCCAGCATACTGATGTCCATAAAAGAATGGACAACATTCCATTCTTTTACCTGTTGACCTTCCAGTACCTCTTGTTAACAATGTTGAATAGAAAACAGTAGTTTGAGAAAAGATTTAAGAATCTGTGAAAGAGCATATAGCGCCAAATGCCATTCAGTAGTAAGATTAAAAAATAACGATGGTCAGAGTGCTTGGTGAGGGTACCTGGCTGTCATTTTCTGGATTAGTATGGATCTTGGGTCTGAAGTTTTGTTTGAGACTTTTTAGATTTCGTCATGTTGGCAATCATTTGTAGAATCGATGCCTAGAAACTTGTAGTAAAAACATAGCGTAAACGTATCCTGTTCCTCCCAGGTATACACCTTGTAGAGATTTGACAAGAAATGTTAACAGTCTCTTATTTGTGGTTGGATATTTAGGTTTGAATGTTAGCTTTGGAAGTCTACTTCTAACATTTTCTTGAGTAATAACATGCCTTCGGAGAAACACAGATGTCAGTAGCAGATCACTAACAGGCCTTGTGGTGGACTAATTGATCATCATAGCTAATACCTCACCTGATTGAATTTGAAATCAACTTCATCTTGTTTGAAACCTTTGACCACACAGAGAATCTGTTTCTTGTTTTAATCCCATCTTCATGGGGTAAGTTTTAAAAGAATGCACAAGTCTGAAGGTAAAGCTGCTCTGCCACCATGTGTAGACAGAAAGAACTGCTACCAACTATCCTGTCAGTGGGCTAGCAGATTTTCTACATCTCATGCAGGAGAAACCACCATTGCTTGAGAGAGAGAGCCTAAGGGAAGAAGAAAGGGCTCTAAAAACACTTATGCCTCAGGGATTGTGTTCTTGGTGCTATTTATCTGATGGATACTTGGAGACTGAGGAGAATTTGATGAGGAAAGAGGGTTTTATCAAACTGAAGAGGAACTTTCACGAGGTTTTTAAGGTGCCTAATAAGCAGACTTGGATAAACTGCACCTCCAGCAAAGGACTTGCACATCATTTGACATAGTGGTGCATTACAGAATACTGGAATATGATTCTGTCCTTCATGCACCTTAAAAGTTATAAGAATTAAGCACATCTGTCTTTAAAATGATATGATGTTCCCATATACCTTGATTTATCTTCAGAAGTCGTTTCTACTTTCATTTGCTAGACAATTGTGAGTATCAAATCATGCTGGAAAAGTATGGTTTCATTTTTACTGTTCTTTCCTTTCAGTCCCAAATTATATGGGAAAAGTTCGCAAGGTAGGCCAGATTTCCTATCACAGAATCAAGTCCAGTATTAATGACCGAATTATCTGTTTTCTTCCTTTTGTGTTAGTTCATTTATTTTTCCTCTACCAGTTTGAGAACTGTGTGTTGTGAATTCTTCCTGTTAGATGACAACCTTTGTCATAAAACCTTTTTCCTTTGCAAATCTTCATTTGCTGGATTGTGAAGGTATTCATAACAACAGAGTCAACTGAATGAATAAGCCTTAGTTAAGGGGTTTTTAGAAGTGGTATATCCTAGTATAAGTTTCTATTGCCATGTAATGCCTGGGTCAAAAACTGTCATCTTTACTTTGCCATCTGCTGATAATCCTGGAGATGAAACTTTAGCAATATAATAAACCTATCTCTCTTAATATGAACTTTAATTGTACTGAACAGTGAGAAAAAATATCCATTCCCTAAGTGCACCACAAGTTGTTATCCCAAAAGACAGGGTGTTCAATCATAAGTGCAGTAGAAAGAGCAGCTCACAAGGAGTCTTCATTCTATCTGCTCTATCAGCTTAAATAAGTATGAGGCATAGAGTAATAAAATCAGACACACATGTATATTGTAAAATTTACTTTGTGAAACTCTTCATATTGGATTCTAAATGACTCTGCTGAGTTTATTTCTATTTATATGAAGGATTTTGTGCAGTCTAGACTGAATAAAAGAAGTTAAAATTATTTGCTAATGGCCTCAGGATAGAGGAGTATGCTTTCAGCCCCTCTGCATGTGGTTACTCATCTCAATTTCATGTTCTTTATTTCAGAGAGCTCTTCTGGAGAAGAAGCAAAGGAAGAAACGTCTTGATCCCTTGATGGTTCAGCCAAATCCTGAGGCAAAGCTTCGCAGGTCAAAGCCCAAAGGGTGCGAGGAGCAGGCTCCTTTAGTAGAAAACCCAATTCCTTTCCACAATGATGCTACATTACATGGTAAGCACGCATCATGATTGCAGTACTTGCCAAAAAAGCCAGTGCGTGCATGTTATGTCAGCGATGGTCACCTACATTGCTGTGGCAGTGGTCAGGGAGGAACAAGATTGATTACACATCTCTCAAAAAAACATACCATAAAACAAACCAAAGCCATAAAAACAAACAAAAGCCTTATCTTGAGTTTTGTGACAGTTGAGAATCATCTGCCTTTGAGTAATCTCCCTTTTGTGTTAGGCTAAAAGCAATTTCCAAAATGAGTTAGGAACTTCTAGAAAGGCAGGGAGATAAGAATCCAGAGTGAGATATTAGTGTGCGTGACAAATACCTCTTGCCTTACACATTTCAGCCCTTGTTAAAAAAAAAAAAAATAATAATACAGTCATTTATAAATGGGGAAAACCCATTTCTGACATGTTTAAAGCAAGTTGCTCACAATTTCCTGGCCAAAGTTAAGTGAACAAAAATAAATTGGTAGTTTAAAGGGAATCTTGAGCAAGGAAAGAATAAATGAGGGATTGCCCTGGGACACTTCTGTAGTGGTAAATTATTAGGCTTTTGGATTCTGCTTAATTTTGGTCTGCAGGCATTGATGGACCAGCTGCTTTCCTGAAATCAGAAGTGCAAGACTTAGGGACCAAACTCCAAACTCTCTCTGCTGGATCTTCCATAACAGAAGACAGTGCAGATCAGGAAAATGATGGAGAGGCCCTTACAGAAACAGCAGGCAAGCCAGATCTGCAAGAACTCTTACAGAAACGGGGTAAGATAATGGAGCAGACTTCTTTTACTTTCTATAATTTTATAATTTTGCACGTAACATTAAAAAAGGTGGGGGTAGAAGAGGAGGGGAATATCATGAAGCAGGTATCTATAGGACCTTTCTCTGAAATACACTAGTAGTAGTTCCTCTGTTTTCTGGTTAACTGCAGTTTCTCTTTTTTTCCCACAACATGCTGGTATTAATTAGAGAGCTAGTTATATTTTAAAGTTTTTTTTTTTAACGTCTTGTATTATTTGTGTCCTTTCCAAGGAAGATGGTCACAAAGCAGCATTTCTCATTTTGCTAAAGTTCAGGATAATTTTATTCCAGATATAATATATAGGTGTCTCATACCTGATGACACAGGGACCTTCTGCAATCAATAATACAGCACTTATTTACCTGCTGAGGAGACCTTCTTGAAAGGTGCTCTTCCTGAGTTGGAGCATAGCACAATCAGCAGTTTTGGAGTTTTATTTTCAATAGGTGGAGAGGGACACTCACATTCAAATGTCCATCCCTGCATGCTAATATCTTTCTTTGCTGCCAGTGCCACAAGAAACTATTTGTTGCAAGCTGTCCAAGCACTTGGCAGAAAAATAAAAGTGACTTGGTTTAACATGGCACACAGCTTGCTTTATTTGGTAAAACCTGTCTCACAGAACGTTTCCAGTACACCTTATGAATTAAGATACTACCATATGTAGAAACACTTTCAGTTGTCAGATACAACAGCTGTTTACCTATGGATAGCAGGGGTACGAGGATGATCAGGGGCCTGGAACATCTGCCCTATGAGGAGAGGCTGAGGGAGCTGGGCCTGTTCAGCCTGGAGAAGAGAAGGCTGAGAGGGGATCTAATCAGTGTCTATAAATACCTCACAGGAGACAGTGAGGAGGATGGTGCTGGCCTCTCTTCACGGGTGGCCACCGACAGAACTAGAGGTAATGGCCACAAACTGAAGCACCAAAAGTTCCACAGGAACTTAAGGAAAAATTTCTTAACGGTGAGGGTGACAGAGCACTGGAACAGGCTGCCCAGAGAGGTTGTGGAGTCTCCTTCTCTGGAGATCTTCAAAACCTGCTTGGATGCAGTTCTGTGCCATGTGCTCTAGGTGACCCTGCGTGTGCAGGGGGGTTGGACTAGATGACCTCTAGAGGTCCCTTCCAGCCTTAAGCATTCCATGATTCTATGATAGCAACAAGAGTCAGGACAGGAAGCAGGATAGAATGTCTAAATAGAAAATTCAGGGGAAACTGGTAGAGGGAGAATGTAAACAGTGAGTTTTGAAGCTGGCCAGAGCACTGTGATTAGTGCCTTTCCTCTCTCCAAGTGTACTTTGGGAAGTTTTTGGCAGGTTGGTAAGACTACATTTTTCTATTTCATCTGAGACGGAGAAAGCTTCCATCAATGCCCTTTGTTTTCAGTGCCGTGTTGGAATACTGCTGTGTTACTGATTCATAGGAAAGGATCCAGATCAACAGCCCGATGCTGTTCCTATTCTTTAGAGCTTTACGCACTTTTCCATTTCACAGCTGAATCATAGGAAGGAAATCGCAGAACAAGATGATGCAACTCCAAGTGGAAGGAAACTCCAAACAGTAATGTGTACAGAAGTTCTTCCTAAATGCCTTTAGGCGGAGTTATTTTAGTTATATACCACAGTCATGAATGAAAGTATAAACTAAGCAATACAGTGTATCATGCGAAATGTGTAGTGATGAAAGTCAAATAGATGCTTAATCAGCTGAGTGGTGAAAAATATCACCAGTGCTTTGGAATTGAAGGCTTGGGAAGCAGTATTCCACAAGAAGAAAATAAGCAGTTGGAATAGCAGAGATTATGAAGATAGGAGCGAAAGAGCTGTTGAAGCGGCATGTGTGAATTAGTGATTCCATGAACTCATGATGCCTTCTTTCAGGGGTTGTTTGCTTGATCCTCTGTTCTGACAGGAATTTCAGGAAGTTTGAATTTTGATGAGGAGGACACAGAAGAGGAAGAAGAAACTAATAAAAGACCATGTCCTGAATCTGAGAGACCTAGTTCTGCAACCAGCCTGAAATCTTCTGCAGTAAGTGTTATGAAGTCAATTTCCATTAAGAATTGGGCACATACTTGTTTTTTAGTACTCACACCTTGAGTATTATGCTAAAATGTAGTAGTTGCAACTGCTGTAGTTTGTGTTCATTCCTGAAGGCAGATAAAGGTCAAAATTGTCAGGTTATCTGACTGGCAAGTTAAACACAAAGACCTAGAGATCAAAGGAGCATGGCAGAGGAACAGAAGTAATCTTATCATCAGTGAAGAAAAGACAGTGAATTGGCTACTCCTCAAAGACCCTTTAAGGGGAAAGATGAGTCAGTTGCCACTGGTGTGAAACTCCAAGATGATAAAGAATAACTAACTCTCCCTGTGAGATAGATCTGTTCAGTAGGGGAGTCTTTCCTAAGATCAAAAAAAATCTTCAGCCAGGATTTTTCTCAACAGAGAAACACAGGTGGTTTCTTGATAAACTCCTCTTTCCCAAGTATCTTCCTCTTGAAATATAAGGTCTTCTGTTTCAACTGACCGTTCTTTTCTTGGTCAATACAAGAGCCTCTCATCTGATAATCTGCTAATATGATGCCTCTTCTCACAGGAAACAGGTGCTTCCTGTACTCCAGCCCCTCAGGCAGATGCACAGCTGGGAGAAGTAGAGAACTTGGAGGATTTTGCATTACATCCAGCACCCCGTGGTATTACAGTCAAATGTCGAATCACTAGAGATAAGAAGGGAATGGATCGGGGCTTCTTCCCTACTTATTACATGCATCTGGAAAGGGATGACAACAGAAAGGTATTGGAGCTAGTGCACAGTATTTTGGCTATAGGACTCCTACCACAGACCATTTTTGATGTAATGGGAGCAGGGCATAAATTAAGAAATTAGAGGCTGAGGAGAAAAAGCATGCTGATGAGAACTGCTTATCTTTGGCAAGCCACAAAGCAAGGTTTAGAAGCAATAACATAGTGAGAAGATGAAATACAAAAATATAAAAACTTAAGGGGTAAAGGAGAACAGAAGGACTGAGTTGTTTGAGAAGAAAAGGAGGGAAGATGCAAAAAAATCAAAGTTGCTTTGAATCTAGACTGAGGGGGCTAATTGCAGGATTAGGATTTCAGGTTGTTCACTTAGGGAAGAGGTGAAAAGTATGGAGACAGGAGTAACAGCACAGAGCGAAAATGGGAGTGGGTGAGGGGAAGCAGCTGGGACTTTGGGTAGTAATGCCTAGTGATGCTTTCTTTGAAAATTTTGGTTTTGATCAAAGTTTTGTATTTCCAGACATTCCTCCTTGCAGGACGAAAGCGGAAAAAGAGCAAAACATCAAATTACCTCATATCAATTGACCCAACTGACTTATCTCGGGAAGGGGAAAGTTTCATTGGAAAACTCAGGTGAGAGCCACAGATGAAAAACGGAGCCAAATATACAGCTTCTGCAGTAGGAGAGATTGGATTTCCATTTTAGCTGAGTTGGAATTGCAAATAAAAATAGTGAACAGATCATAGGAAGATGTGCCTGGAGATGTATAAAGTTTCACTGTGCTGCACAGCTGCCTTCAGAAGATGACAAAATTTACCACTGATGCATCTCTCTCTTTCTGTCTCTTCCCCTTATTTGATCTTAGGTCAAACCTCATGGGAACTAAATTTACAGTCTATGATCATGGAGTTAACCCAGTCAAGGCCCAAGGTCTAGTGGAAAAGGCTCACACTCGACAGGAGCTTGCAGCCATTTGTTATGTAAGTAGTGCTTCTCTCCTTTTGCCCCTCTTCCCTTCTTGTAGCCTGACTTCCAAGGAATTTGAGCTCACAAAATCCTGGCAGCCTCCCCTACTTCACTTTTGAGCTAGCCAACCAATTTCCATCAAATTAGACAAAGGGCAAAGGCCCTGATAAGTTCCTACAAGTTTCATGAAAAAAAAAAAATCAGTTAGGGAGTCAGCAGGAGTATAGAAAGAGGGAGAGAGACCCAAACTAATATTTTCACTGAGGGAAAGATGACAACGTAACTTTGAGATTCTTCAATAAATTATAGCCAACCAAGTAGAGGGATTTTTATCTTTGCCATAGTTACAGCAGCAGAAATTTACAGAGGTGGCATTCTACTGGAACATGATCCTGATCTTTTTGCTAAGTGGCACTTGAGGTGGAGGCAAAAAAGATGTGATAATTCTAGTACCAACCTATTTATGTGTCACTAGATGTTTTATTTGTATACAGTATTCCTCACTTCCCTGCCTATCTGAATGTCTAAAACATTTTATCTACATGGTTCTCATATGTACCCCTAGATTTTCTGAAATGATATAATAGAGGTTGCAGCTCCAAAAACGGTGTCTGTGAAATGCACTAGCACATTAGAAGAAGCTGTATAACTTCTATTAATCAGTGTTTCTAAAAGAGCCTCATCTTGATTTGTCAGGGTTTTTTGTTTGTTTGTTTGTTTGTTTTTTGGGGGGGGAAGGGATTGCTTGGTTTTAATCTGTGCTTTGGAAATTTTAAAGGTTGTTAATGATGTGATGCTATAGAGCACCTTAAATGAACTGAATGGTTAGAGAAGACCAAGAAAGATCCTTTTTCTTTGTTTTATACCCAATTCACTTGGAGCAGTCTCTTGCTGCACTTTCAGATCGATCTGCTTGTCCTAAAATTGAAGTTCAGATAGAACCTGACTATTTTTCTTTTGGGGGTTGTTCTCAATCATTTATGAAAGAGCGCGATTTCAGAGAAAATTGTAGAAAAAAGACAAGTTGTTCATTCTCCAGGAACATTCAAACCTAAGTGGTAGTTATATAGATAAGAAAAAGACCCGGTCAAAGACCGGATTTTATCATGTTAAGCCTTCTTCATTAGCAATATTTTAGCGTCTTTTTGCCTCAAATGCAGTTTTTTTTTTCCTGAGATCACTCTTCTCTGATCTTATGGTAAATGTTTGTTTCATTAGAACAATATAAGTGTGCTCAAAGTTAAGTAAGTAGTACTATGCATGTCTTTTAAGTTCTCAAAATGGAGAGAGGCAGCTATTCTCAGCAGTAAATGTAATTGCATTTAATGTAACTGCTGGCACAGTTGTAGCTAACAAATCTGTAAGAAGCAGTACAGATGTGAATTTAAGATCAGCCTTGTTGCCTTTCCTTCAGTGAGAGGGAGTATCTAATTTCCTAAAAATACTATCTTCCTTATCTTTCAGGAAACCAATGTGTTAGGATTCAAGGGTCCCAGGAAGATGTCTGTGATCATTCCAGGAATGAATATGAATCACAAGCGAATCCCAATTCGGCCCCAAAATGTGAGTTTGGTCACGTTTCAGTCTGGAGGAAGAGGCTTTCTTCTAGAGATCTTTCTCCTAGAGGCCTTCTCCTAGAGATCTGGCTGCTACTGATGATTACAGCTATCAAAGCAAGGTTATTAATGGCAAAGATGGTTGGCAGGTTTCATGGCCAGTAAACTTTTTATAGTGCAATGAAAAGGTCTTGATTAATGTCCTTGCTTTTTACCTCACTTGTACACATCTTTTCCTCAGTCTTTCCTGCTGAGAACAGCCCTCAATGTTGCAGAGTGGCTGATACCCCAGAGCGCTGAGCCCCAGAGGTACCTCAACAGGCTGGAGAGATGGGAAAGAGGGAAACCTTATGAAATTCAGTGAAGTGCAAAGTCCTGCATCTAAGGAAGAATAAGGCCATGCACCAGTACGGGCTGGGGCTGACCTGCTGGAAAGTAGCTCTCCATAAAAAGACCTGAGAGTGCTGAAGGGCAGCAAACTGAGTTGACCATGAGCCAGCAGTGTGCCCTTGTGGCCAAGAAGGCTGATGGTATCTTAGGCTGCATTAGGAAGAGAGTCGCCAGCAGGTCGAGGAAGGTGACCACCCTCCTCTACTCAGCCCTGGTGAGGCTGCGTGTGGAGGACTGTGCCCAGTTTGGTGTTCCCCAATACAAGAGAGACGTGGAGCAACCAGAGTGAGTCCAGTGAAGGGCTACTAAGATGATTAGGGGACGGTAGCCCCTGTCTTATGAAGAAAGGTTGAGAGAGCTGGACATATTAGGCCTGGAGAAGAGAAGACTGAGGGGGCAGATCTAATCAACAAGTACCTGAAGGGAGGTAGGGCCAGGCTATTTTCGGCGATGCCCAGCTGTAGGACAAGAGGCAACAGGCACAAACTGAAACACAGGAAGTTCCATCTGAACAGCAGGAAAAGCTTTTTTATTATAAGGGCAACTGAGCACTGCAACAGGTTGCCCTGAGAAGTTTCAGAGTCTCCATCTGTGGAGATATTTAAGATCTGAGCAATGTGCTCTACATGACCTTGTTTGAGTGGGGCAGGGGATGGATGGAGGGTGGAGTAGCTGATCTCCAGAGGTCCCTTCCAACCTCAACCATTCTATGATCCTGCGAGAAGTACATTTGAAGATGTTTTAAAGTGTGGGATGAACAAGATTCTGGTTCAGATCTCTGTTAGTGTGTGTTTCATGTTTAATGTGATGGAGAAGAGGGCAGGAAGAATGAATAGAGATATTGTCAATGTTATAATCTAGAAAACAGTATTTGCAGCAGTGCTTTGAGTATAAGACAGAAAAGAATCTTTAAGAGTGGAAACTGAGACATATAAATCTGAAAAAAAATTTAATTTGGTGGGCAGGAGAATTGAATCTAGAGATGGTCACTGATTCCTCATCTCTCTATTGGAATTTCCATCTTCATTGGAACATACAGGAACCATTTCATTTTTCTCTAACATTTTCCTCAGTGTTTTGGTAGCAGGTAAGCATGGTGGCACTGGCTGAAATACCAAGTTGTACTGAGAAGCTGTCAAAGCCCTCAGGGTTTGACATTTTGGTTTTGCTTCCTTCTCTGTAGTCTGGTGCCACCAGTTAAACAATCTTGTCTCAGCTGTTAAAGAGAAAAAAATGCATTTCTAAATAATGTTTGATGACTATTCTCATCATGCAAGTTCTCTTTGAATCTTTATAAAACAAATAGAAAATAAACAAATATAAAAATGAAGATACAAACTAAGTAGATTAACTTGAACAATAAGCTTTAATGAAAATTTAAAAATTGATTATCCTTAAAAATCCATTATACACTAGTACCAAAACATATGACATAGCTGTATTAGGCAGACATCCACAAGAGGTTGTTCCCTGATCATTAAATAACTTCAAATTGGGTTCCTTTTTTTTTTTTTTGGTAACTTTTAGCTTTTATTATTTCAGGCTGGATTTTATTTGGTTAAACTGTTAAATCACAGGTTGTTTTCCTCACTATTGTTGTCAATGCCTTAAAATTTCCTCCGTTTCTCACATATAACATGTTGTTTTGTTGCTTTATCACTTTTTTTTCCCCTCATCTCTGTGTTTCATATTTTACTTCTCCTATTAGACCTGGTCAGATGGCATTTAACCTATTCAAGGCATATTTACAGCCCACTGTAGCCTTTAGATTCTTTATGGAAACACACCCTAGGACCTAGCACTCTGGAATTAAATTAGATTATTTTTCTTGGTTTGAAAGTTACAAGATTGCAAATGGAAGTTGGATCCCATTGGAGAAAGCTGATGTGAGTCTTGGAGATGATTCCTGATAGCAGGGTGATACTCTGGGTCTGGGTAGAAGTGATACTGATGACCTCTGAAGCTCACACTTGCTCTTTCTCACTGTTGTTTTGGAAAAGAATTTAAGACAGAATTTAAGTATTGTCATTGTGTTCTGTTAAACAGGAAATGACTTTCAAGTGGTAGAGTGCACACACCTGAGAGAGGCAGTACTTAAAAGCAGAATCATTCCAAATCTGATATATACATTTATTTCTTCGGAGCAGGAGCATGAGAGTCTGCTATCAAAGTGGCAAAGCAAAAACTTGGAGAACCTCATTGAGCTACACAACAAAGCTCCAGTCTGGAATGATGATACTCAGTCTTACGTTTTGAACTTCCATGGGAGAGTCACTCAGGCCTCAGTGAAGAACTTCCAGATTGTCCATGACAATGACCGTAAGAGTCCCTTGGAGAGTTTGGGGGTTTGGCATTACAATATGGAAATCCCAGCATATGCTGTGAAGTTTGGGAGGTGTAGGACACCCTTCCTGGAGAAGGGAGACAAAGTGGAGAAATTCTCCCCAGGGGGGTATTGGGGATTTCTGATCTGTTAAGCAAATGATATGAGACTTCCCTTTTTTGCGGGTGGGTGCAGAGGCTGCTGTCCACAGCTACACCAAAAAGGGGGACAATATCAAGCCTCTGAAAGGGAAAGGAAAGGATTAACATGGCACCTTCCACCGTACCAAATAGTGGTTTGAGCCTTGGCTCTGGAAAATAAGGTAATTTCAGCAACACAGTCTCTCTAGAGAACAAATTTCAAGGCCAATTTGGTAAAGAAGGAATAGCTACATCAACCACATATGTTTGGTGGGTCTCACTGCTGGTTTGGTTTGCTTTGCTTGTGCCTAAGTTTTGCTTCCATGTGAAATTGTTGGTCTCTGAGTCTTTCTTTTCTCCTCAGCTGACTACATTGTGATGCAGTTTGGTCGTGTAGCAGAAGATGTGTTCACGCTGGACTATAACTATCCTCTCTGTGCTCTCCAGGCCTTTGCTATTGGACTTTCCAGCTTTGATAGTAAATTGGCCTGTGAATGAGAGAGACAACAGGCTCGAGCCACGAACTCCCTGCCAACCTGCATCCTGCTGTCTGAGTTCTAGGTGCAGTGATGCGAAGTACACTGAGGAGGGAAGGGAACTGGAGGACAAATTTCTGCAGGCTCAGCAGAAAGCAAAGAGCCAGCCTAAGGGCGCTGTGGTAGCTGACCCTGGGGAGACTGTCCTGAAATGGAGCATTCTTATGGAAGAACAAGGCACGTGCATAATGTTCTTGTTGTCAGTATTGATCCCACTTTCAGAATCTTGAAACAGACGTTGCATTAGGGCAGGCAAAGAAATTTAGGCCACTAATTGGAACCTGTTCAGTTTGGATTAGAATAGTGGTTTAGTGCCCGTATACCTTGGATCTTCAGTAGTGCCCGTGGAGTTGGTGCTGCTGATCTTGCTCTCAGATCCTGAAGAGATTAATTCAGGAAAAGGAGGATAGTTTTGGCATGTATTCTGTTTTGCTCTGTGTGTTTGTTATCCTGCTGTCTGTTACAACACCCAGAGACAGAGAGGGAAGGATCTAGCTTATGCCTCTGCAATTGTAGGTAATTTTCAGCGAATAAAGTGCTGGAATGAGACATTGGTTTTAATAATCTACTTCTCTCTTAGTATGAAGAGCAGTTCTTTGTTAAGGTTGATGCTCAAGTTTCCTTTCACTGTTCTAATTGCTTCATATCCTTTGACAATCTTTTTACCAAATAAAAAAAGAATCAAAACTCAAATAGTCCCTTCTTAGTTGGTGATACCCAACTAAGTTATATGGTGATATCCACGTATTTCTTCTTTTTGTTGTTCTTAGCTACTTCAAAATTAGATTGGATAGATGATAGAATCTGACTGAATTTGGCGGAAAGTAGTATTGTAACAATTTACAGTACTGCACCTGAAAAGCAGTTTTCTTACTAAATCTAGATTCTAAGCAGATCATTTTTTTTATTGTACATTGTTTGTAAAATTTGGCATGTTTTTAGGAATAAGCTGAGTTCCTTTTTTTTTTTTAACATGAGATTGTCTGAAATCAAAGCCTATGGAAATATATTTTATGCAAGTATTTTTAGTCTGAATATAGGAAGGAGGAAAGCTCATTCCAAAGGAGAGTACAGGGGTTTTCAAAAGCACCAGTAAATTTAATTAAAAAAAATAAATAAAAGAGCTGAATCATGGGGCTCTGCAAAGTGTCTTTCTGATGTTCCATATATAATGCTGGATTGTACAGTACGGAGAATGCAGGACCTAACATGGAACATTTCTTGATTCAAGTGGCCTTGATTCATCAGAATGAATTGCTGCACATTGTCATATCAGCCTCTTAGAGCACACATTGGCTATGTACTAAAATGTCATGACATTATGCATATCCATGATAATTGTGGAAAACTGTATCCCTCCACTGCACCGAGACAGGTGTTCTCCAACCATGCACATAGTCCTTGTGAGCAGAACAACTCTGCCTCATGCTCCCAAAGGGCAGTTTACTGGTTTAGTTCTCCTGAGTCCTCACAGTGGTAGCTATCACTTGCTCTTTCAAAATAATGAGAAGTTGCAAAGACCTTTTCTTGTATTGCCAGGAAAAAGAAGTATTAATCATAGTTATCTGAAATTCTGTATCTAACTGTAAATTCTGAATTGTTGCTAAGGGCTCCAGCTCTCTTAAGGTGCCCGCTCTGCATTATTTGGGGAGCTGTTGTTTTCAGGGGGATCTCCTCAGCACAGCATTTGTCAAAGAGAAATTGAATCCCAGATGGCTTTTGTTCTCCGTGATCTTCAGCCTGGGAACAAGATGTGGCCATGTTTTCCAGCGGCGCTCTGCTGATTTCTTGCCTGATGGCTCCTCGCTCCATTGGCCCTTCCAGAAAAGCTAAAGAAATTGGTTCAAAGCATGCCTCGATCTGCTTAGTTGTTGGTTGGTCTTTTTACTTGGACTGTATGAAAGAAACTCCCTTCCATTAGTCTGGGGTCACCTGAAGGTAGAATGCTCATTTTCCACTCGAGCCAATTTCCTCTATGCTGCGCAGGCTCTGACACATCCCCTTATTCCTCCTCTCACCTAGGCCAGTCATCAAAGGCTCTTCCAGCTATTTGTTGACTTCAGAATGATCCTAGCAGAGTCCCCCTGACCTCTAGGGTTTTCTGTCCAGTTATGCAGACTGATGAACCGCTTCAGTGCTCTTTGATCAGATACTGTTTTACATGAATTGTATTTATAACTTTTGTATCTTGATGAAAATAAACTAATTTATAAGCTTTAAAATTTCAATTCTAAAATACTTTTTGTAGGATTTGCAGTTACTTGTGAGTGTTTATTTTTAGTCCTCCTGTTTCTACCTCAGTTTCTTCCTGATTTCCCATTCTTCATCTCCTTACTCCCCCTTTTCCTTTAAAATCCTCAACTCTCTTCCTTTGTAGTGTTTTTCACATGTATGAGAATGAATGTGAGATCTTTTTTTTTTTCGCTCCACCAGCAGGAGGTCTTCCTATGCTGTTCCTGATTCCTATTTGATTCTTTCCTTAAGCTACTTCCCCTCCCCATATTCTTAGTGCTTCTCCCAGCCTCCAGCTAAGGTTTTTGGAATTTTTTTAAATGCTTTTCCCTCCCCTTCTGAGACCTTTGTGCATGCCAAGGACAGCACAGTATATTTCTCTCACTACAGGGAGATACAGTGGTCACAACAATCAAATACTGACACAACTGTCTGTGTAGGCTTTGATGCAAGCGGTCCACCATCTCTTCTTCCAAACTCTCTCCATCTCAGTTAAATTAGGATAGTCGGGAGGAAAAACTGTAATTTCCTCTTAATAAAGCAATATTAATTGCCATTTTTTTTACCTTTGCATATAACTGTAAAATCCAGGAAATCCTAAGAAGAGCTTAGAACAAGAAAAGAAGCATATTAGACTATTAAGTGTGAATCCTAAAGGCAGGCATAACAGACGGCTCATAGGCTCACAAACATCAAAGGTAATGAGTAATTTCTTGTTCTTTTTAGGGATCAGTCCCACACTCACTGAAGTTTTGCTGCTTAATTTGGTAGTAGCAGTAGCAGAGGTTTTGCTCTAAGTATAATAGTACTCTTATTGTCTGCATAATAATTCTCTTCCACTTGCTGGTATTAATAACTCTATAAACCTCTAAGTTATATTTGAATTAGATTTCCTGACTCTGTTAGAGAAGTCAAGAAAGGTTTGCTTATCATTTACAGGCCAAGAGCTAAGAGTTTGTGCAAAGTTTGTCCTATGAAACAATTATGGCCAGGTTTCTTATTTCATGCAGTCAGGAGTTCAAAACTTTTACCCATAGTGTCACATTGTCATCCTTAACTTTTTGCAGCCACTACAAGTGAATCCCAGAAAGAAACTAAGATATCGATAGCTGATCATTTTGTTGCTGCCTCAACCAGTGCAGACTACCAGGGTGTGAGGACAACCTTTACGACTGTGAAGTACTAAGAAACAAAAGCCCTTTAGTGTAAGAAGGCAGAGACCTTGTACCAGCTGTTACTGCTATCTCTTGAACTGCACAGACTTTACCAAAATGTGTCAAGCTAAAGGCTATTATAACCATTACCTGCATTGGTACATTAACATTTAATTTAGAGATTTTATACATGGATGGCTATATTCTACAAGATGGAATTCATGGAAACATAAAGTAAATGAACAGATAAAGTGGACCATTGCACTCTATACAACAAAACCACTTAAAATGCAGAAAAAAAAAGTATTTTTTTTATTAATGCTTGCATTGAACCCTCTATTAAAGGGCATATTTTACTGTGAAAAATGATTTGATTTTTAAAAGCTGCATATCAAAATCATTCAGCTAAATAGAGTAAAAGCATGGGGAGTAAGGCCTGATCAGCTTCCCCAGCTCCCTTCGCTTCCGGTTCCAAGCGAACGGTTTGTGTCACCGTCACTGCTAGTAAGGAGAGAAGGAAATTAAAGCACTCCCTTCTCTTGAGTGGATTTCCATCACTGGGCTGCTGCAAACCATTTGTATATTGATTCACAGGAAGGAATATGATTCAATTCCTTCAATTCGGAGCTGTGTTGATTCTGCAGGGGAATGGGAGCATTAGTCACATTATCATCAGACATGGCCTAGAGTTCACAGAGGGAGCAGATGTGATGAGAAATGAGCTACCTTTTATGTCTAAACATTTTTTTCATAAAATAACATATTGTAGTAGGGGTTAACAGAAGCAGTAGTTGGATGAGATCATTACAGGGCTTTCATAAAGAAAAACAGCTGAATAATTTAATTCAATTTATTAATTTCATCTTATTTATATTGTAAATACTTCTGATTCCCACAGTTGCATCATAAAACTTCTTCCTTAAGTTATACTCATAAAATAATGGCATGGCATTACAAAGAAAGATAATTGTACTTAAATGGATTACCAGCATCTGCTATCTTCAACACTGCCAGCCTCAAAATAAATAAATGAATAGGCCTTCCCAATCACAAGACATAATATTTTTGAAGGTGGTGGGTTTTGCCATCTGGTTTTTGAGGCTCTAGAATGCATTTAGGTCTTGTTTTCAGGCTTTGCTACATAACTTGAAAGAGTTGTGAACAATTTAGGTTTGGGTTTTGCCTGCCAAAAGCTGAGATTTTTCTCAGTCCATTCCCTGAACAGAATTCAAACAAAGTAAAACAACGTGGTAGTAACTCCGGCACAGGTTGTTATTTGCACACTACAACCATCTGTGACAGTGTCACCTGCAGGAGACGTGAAGAAGTTTGATTGCTTTGCTGTTTCAGCTGCACTGCATCAAAAGCCCCTAATAGGAGGCATTTATATTTACTGAATTTGCAGTCCTGCTAGGACTGCCTGCTTTCTTCTTAGGGATGTGGCTTTTCACCTCAAGCGCAGCTCTGAACTTCATTGTATCAGTACTCTCTAGTCCAGCATTGACTACGCTGGTCAAGTGTTTTCAATATAGATATGACTTGGAAAATAAATCATTTTTTTGCTGGTTTATATGTTTTTTGCTCGTCACATCGTTGGTCAACTCTGTAGTATGCATGCACTTACAATGGTAGTAGG